TGCTGTTGCTGTTGTTGTTGTTGCTCTTAACTTGGTTGTTGTACACTTGTCTAATTGGAAACGACAAGTGGAAACTTCCGCGCATTTCAATCATATGGCGACCAGCGACTCGGTATCAATTTCATAACTCGCTTCGCGCCTCTCCATGACGAAGGCAAAAAACAAAAAAAAAAAGCAACACGAGCACAGCAAAAAAACAAGAAGAAACCTTTGAGAACCTTTTTTTGTTGTTATTTTTTTTGCAAACGTAACTCCCACTTGATGACGTTACGCCTGCGGGGTTCGGCGTTCTTGGGTTCTGGGCACGGTTCTGTTTCTCTTGAGGTTCGGTTCCGGGTTTTTACCGTTATCAGTTACTGTCTTTTTGTAGAGATGGGCGCGTGACACGAGCCCTCACAGCACGTGCGATACTTTTGTGCACTCGGACTGGCATTAAAATAAAGAACACATTGATATAATCATGTTGTATTAAATGGTAATCACAGCAACAAAAAAACATTGAACACGATTTAACACGACTTGAAGAGAATTAACACTATATTTTACATGATTTAACAAGCCTTGGCACGAGCAACTGTGCTGATCACAAGCTTTAACATGACTTTATTACAATCAATGAGATTAAATTCGATTTTAATACAACGATACATAGAAAGTTTACGAAACTCGACACGATTTCAAAGGACGTACAGTAACTATCACAAGTTTTAACAGGACTTAGCACGACACTTTACCAAAAAAAAAAAATAATAATAATAATATATCGAATAGAGGTGACACGATCCAACACAATGTCACAGAAAAAAAAAAAAATTCTTAAACTCACAGCACGGTGGCTTTGGAAAATTGAATTTCTAAAGATATTTGAATTTCTGAATGACCATCCAATTCATATTTACACATTTTATATTCCATTTTGCCCATTAACTAATTTTATGGGACTTGAATTTATGTTATTATAAAGTTTTTGCAAGCAAAGCAATATATAAGAGGTTAAAAGTATGCAGCATCAGAATAAAATAAATTATTATTTTCGAAGGCAAAACATTGGCAATGAATTAAGTATATGTATATTTTTTTGAATATTTAAAAAAAACTTTTCTCGCACTGTTTCATGGATTTTAAAAGAACACTTATTTAAAGGACGAGCCTAACATTTTGTTGGCTCTTAATGTGAACTCAAGAAACAAGAATTGGTAAAGTAAATATAAAAAAAAATTAAAAAAAAAAGGTTTGTGAGAAGCTTTCTTTTCGTGTCTTCGCAGTGAAGGTCCTGTTGCATCGTGTTGCATTGTATCGCATGTGTTGCATCTTGTCGTGCTTCAACTCCAGCACGCGCCCAGCTCTAGCTTGTACATTTGTGCGGGGCGTGCTATTGATTCGGCTATCGATTTGATGAGCGTCCAATGACGAGCCTCTTCAAGCCACACACACACACACGCACACACACACACACAAACAGTCAGACAGACACACGCAGACTGGCAACACACGCGATATTCGAGACTGGCTATTGGCAATTGAAGCAGCTGTTGTGCATCTGTTAATTACCGTTATTGCTTTTGCAATTATTTATTGTTACTGTGCTTTTAGTTCTTTTGGGCGTCACCAGACGGGGCGGGTAACGCGTCCGCTTGCGGCAAAGTTTGCGCAGCAACTGAAACGTCCATTGGCAAAAACGAAGCAGCAGCAGACGCAGCAGCAACAATCTGCTGCTCTTAGCTACAATGGCAACTGTTGCTGCTGCTGTTGCGGTTTTGTTGCCCTTTTATACCCTGTAAGAATGGCGACATAGGGTATATAAGGCTTATTATTTACGAGTGCAACTCTAGTCATAGTCATAGTCATAATCATTATCGTATCTATATCTATATCTATATCTATATCTATATCTATATCTATATCTATATCTATATCTATATCTATATCTATATCTATATCTATATCTATCTATATCTATATCTATATCTATATCTATATCTATATCTATATCTATATCTATATCTATATCTATATCTATATCTATATCTATAATATCTATATCTATATCTATATCTATATCTATATCTATATCTATATCTATATCTATATCTATATCTATATCTATATCTATATCTATATCTATATCTATATCTATATCTATATCTATATCTATATATCTATATCTATATCTATATCTATATCTATATCTATATCTATATCTATATCTATATCTATATCTATATCTATATCTATATCTATATCTATATCTATATCTATATCTATCTATATCTATATCTATATCTATATCTATATCTATATCTATATCTATATCTATATCTATATCTATATCTATATCTATATCTATATCTATATCTATATCTATATCTATATCTATATCTATATCTATATCTATATATATATCTATATCTATATCTATATCTATATCTATATCTATATCTATATCTATATCTATATCTATATATCTATATCTATATCTATATCTATATCTATATCTATATCTATATCTATATCTATATCTATATCTATATCTATATCTATATCTATATCTATATCTATATCTATATCTATCTATCTATATCTATCTATATCTATATCTATATCTATATCTATATCTATATCTATATCTATATCTATATCTATATCTATATCTATATCTATATCTATATATCTATCTATATCTATATCTATATCTATATCTATATCTATATCTATATCTATATCTATATCTATATCTATATCTATATCTATATCTATATCTATATCTATATCTATATCTATATCTATATCTATATCTATATCTATATCTATATCTATATCTATATCTATATCTATATCTATATCTATATCTATATCTATTTATATGCATTTTACAGAGTATCTTTAGTGCGAGTACTCTCTTCTCCATAAAGTTCTAACATGTTTGCGTATTGCTTTTCGTTTAACAAATTGATTTTGCGATTTCACATATGATAAACGCCTCATTACGTATACGACCCGCATACCACCTACATTATTATTCCTTCCATATTATTAAGTCGGCAGTTGTTGCAGCTTTGTCGATTGTGTTGCCACGCGACCATCGAGTGCATTGTCAGCCCGCCCCTAGTCCGCCCCTAGTCCGCCCCTAGCCCGTCCCTGGCCTCCACAAACGAACGACATTGGCAACGAACTTGTCTGCAGGGGGGTGAATTTTGGACTCGAGAGTGTGTGTGGGCGTTACGTTGCACGAAAACTACGGATTATTTTGTTTTTAGAGGGTATCATGGGCTTGTCATCGAAAAAGTAACATTTATGTGCATAACTTATATGTGCTCGACTGAGTCTATATCTTATTGCTTGTGCTCGCATTTCAGTTTATGTTTATTTTCGATTCCGATCTGAACTTGAAATATTTTTAAAGATATTAAGTTGATCTTTTTTTAAAGGTCTGCAAATCCTAAATCGCAACTGAATTGTTTCTCTATCAATATTAACCATGAAGCTGCACGTGCATGTGTTTATCTCTGATATGAACTACATTTGTTAGGGTATTTGCAGTTCGTTGCGGGCAGTGCACCTGTAATTGCAGCTGGCCAGAAGCCAGCAGTAGGCGAGCACAGTTCCCAATATTGTTGCTTATCAGCTGGCTTGCGCTCTTCCTCGCACTGTCTCTCCCTCTCGCTCTCTCTCTCTCTCTCTCTCGCGCGCGCTCTCTGGCTGCGGAAGAGGGGCATAAATTATGCCGTGCGGTCAGCGGCTTATGATATATTAAATGGAATTTTAATAGAGGTACGAGTCTATCTTGTTATCAGGTAGAACCCATGCGGCTATCGAGACCAATTCACGAGTTGGGCACGCCGAGTTGTTTATGTTATGCATTGTTTATCGTGCGTGGTTAATTCGAGTTCGAGTTAATAGAAAATTAGCAAGCCTGAGAACTCAATTTGTTTGCATATGACAAAATGAAACACGAAAATTATAATAATAATAAAATAACCCAAAGTTAAGGCTATTTATAATTTGATTAGGTGCGACAAACAAGAACAACAAAAGGCCAATTACACAATAACAAATTGTCACGATAAGCGCTCATGGCGAGTGTTTGGGCCAAAGTTCCAGATAATGGCAGCGTCATCGGACACTTGATTTATTCCCGACAATTGCACAGACCACTCTATTAACTGATTTATAGCTCGTTTTGTCAACAGATAAAGCGCACATACATATGTATCAAGGAAAATGGTCATTTGACATTTAAATTTTTGTCGACCCATTTCGGTGTGTATTGTATTTTTTTTTTTTTTTTTGCTTTGCAGTTTTTATTTTGTAATTGTTGCATTGTCATTCCCATTTTGATTAATCGGTTACCTCTCTATTTGCATCAATCAATGATATGAAAATAAATAACACTGCGAAATGTGCGCTGTAAGCGAACAATTGATACTCATGCATTCCGCAATTGGCAAAGAACTGAGAGAGTTCAAAACCTTTTCCTTTCGTTTTGGCATACATGCTTAATTAATTGGCGTAAGCAAACACAATTGGCGGCACAAACACACACAAAAATGTAAATATTTACATAAGAATCGTCGGCATACAGCTGCTCAAATATTTTGTTTGAATATGTAAAAGCGTCTGGTTTCTAAAAAAAAACCGGTTTGGCGTCCATGTATGCGAATATCTCTTGGTCTGTGTGCGCTGCAAAACAAAAACAATAAACTTAATTGCTCACAGTGCAACAGCTGCGCTAATAGTTTGCAATAAAATGTCAATATAAGTTAACAATATGACTTTTAACCAATTTTAAACCATTTGAATAGCCGTTAGAAAAACTGTTTGCCCGTCATTAAGCTGAATGCTATGTTACGCGAGGGAATTCTTTTGTGCGCAGTTTTGAGCAGCGCAATGTTGGCTGCGAGCCCTAACATGCAATTTTAACAGAGCTCTGTTATTGGTCAGCGGTGTGTACATTTGAGTAACATGAAGTTGGCAGCAACAATTAACATGCATTTTTTGACAGAGCTATATTAATTTGAGTACATTTGCAGAACATAATCAAATAAAACAAATTCAGCTTGTCAAACGAGAGAATAAAAATTCACCTAGCTAATATCGGTTGTGTCAAAACATGGTTTTCTACTTTAAGAGCAATGTAGTGCAGCCGGCCGCAATGCTGTACATGGGCCGCGACAAACACGAAAACGAGGAGCTCATACGCTGGGGCTGGCCGGAAGATGTTTGGTTCCATGTGCAAAATCTATCGTCGGCTCACGTTTATCTGCGCCTGGGCAAGGGACAGACTATTGATGATATACCCACCGATGTGCTGGTGGATGCCGCACAGCTGTGCAAGGCCAACAGCATACAAGGCAACAAGGTTAACAATCTGGAAGTGGTCTACACCATGTGGGAGAATCTTAAGAAGACGCCGGACATGGAGCCCGGTCAGGTGGCCTATCACGACGAGAAGGCGGTGCGCAAGATACGCCTGGAAAAGCGTATCAACGAGATTGTCAATCGCCTGAACAAGACCAAAACCGAGGAGGAGCATCCCGATTTTCGGGGACAGCGCGAGGCACGCGATGCCGCCGATCGTCAGGATCAGAAGCGTTTGCAGCGCGAGAAGCGCGAACAGGAAAAGGAGGCGGCCAAGCAGCGGGAACTGGAGGCCGAGCTGCGCAGCTACGCCTCGCTGCAGAAAACGGAGAACATGCGCACCAACTACGATGCCGGCAACGAATCTGATGACTTTATGTAGTAGCGATAGCGATTCGCCCACATCCTAACCGCGGGCGCTTGCTGCATTTCTCCATTAGCAACCTGAATATCTATATTTAAATGCTTTTTTTTTTTTGTATTGCCAGAGTGTATAACACTCAAATGTAATTATAAAGCAATATCTGTTAAATTGTCAAATGTGGAGCTGTTTTTCTTAAGTGTGGAGCAGTTCTGTTAGTATTTGTGAACGCAATTTATCTGGCAACGCTTTCAAGATTTTCAAAATGCTCGAATACGTTGGACGGAAGTGCGCCCAGATATTGGTAAGTGCCTTAGACTATTATCTCAGAGAATTATCATAGAAGGAGACATCTCCGACACCAAAAAGTATATATATTCTAGATCCCTATCAACAGCTGAGTAGATATATTTAGTCCGTCCGTCTGTCTATCCGCCTGTCTGTCCATCTGCCCCTTGCTATGCGAACTCTTAGTTTTATGTGGGAACTGGAAGCATCGGACCAACCTTACTTTCTCTCTTTAATAGATTCATTATGTTCTGATTGATTTAGTAATTCGCTTTTGCTAAATTAACATTTTTTATGTTATTACTTGACCAAAATGATGAACTTCGAAAACATATGATCCAAATCGCAGTCCAAGACCTAATTTTGTATCGTTATTTCCAAGCTATTGTCAAGTGTTTTTTTTTTGTCCTCCGCGCAAAAGATAAAAGATAAAGAAATGTTGTTTTTTGGCATTTATAAAAACACTTCAACTGTAGCGGGGCAGAGGTTAAGTGGCAAATGCAACTCGAATCCCCGGGTCTTTGAGGGCAGTTTTATGTCTGTGGTTTTTTTGTTTTTTCCTATTGTTTTATTTTTTTGGGGCGGAGGCACCGCCGCGGCGATGCTGTCCTTGACAGCTCAATTTTCGGCTTGTGGGGGGAGCGTGTCCGCTTTATGGAGCGACGGCTTGTTGCCTTTTTCGGAGATGGTCTCGGGTAAGCACATGGCCATTGTTGTTGCCAATGTTGGATAGTTATGGTTGGGCCAGCTGGCGGCGGGTCAGCGTTCAGCACGCACTCATTATCGCCCGTTTTATTTTCACGCATTGTTCATGGTCCCGAAGCGAGCGTCCCGCATCCAAACGGCCCACTCCTGTCCCTTGTTGTGAGAGGGCAAGGGGGGGGGGGGGGCGAAACGGAACAAAAAACTTGATGAGGCTGCGTGTCTTTTGATTATGCCATAGCTCACTTGCAGTGCCCAAGCCCACACCCAATCCGTGTATCTTATGCGCAATGTTGTCATTATGACCGCTCGTAAACATTGATGACAGTTGGGGGCGCAATGGCCACGCCTACATGGCCGTCTGGCTCATTTCGTTCACATTGATTGATTTCCAAGAGTTTTGGGTCTGGGCGTCTGTTTTGTTTCGGCTCTTGATACCCTGCATAGCGGACGGGTGCGTAACACTGTTAACAGTGCTGTTAATGTGACGCTAACAGCGTCTGTTAGTTGTTAGCTTCACATTAACATTGGCCATGTGGTTAAGTTACAATCAAATCACGAGCAGTTTCTTTAGCCAAATCGATTGCCCGTTTCATGAAGCTGTAGACTATGCTGCTGTAAATTATGCTGTTAATGTCACACTGTTGTCGTCACACTAACATGAAACTATGCATCAATCAAGTCTCTTGCTGAAAGATTAATTGCAGCCAGCTTGAAAATTTGAACTTTGTTAAGCTAAGTGTGGCATAAATTACACAAGCCAAAGCAGGTAACCTACGTACTGTATGCTGTGCTGTTAGCGTCCTGCTCTGGTGGCCACAATAACAGAATGAACGAATGTAATTGTAAGAAGTCGTAAAAGTTTTTTCGAATCATTGTTCACTGGGGTTTTATGCCGTTGTTGACTGTACTGCGTGATCATGGGTTTCGATATCCAAACTAAAGCTGCTTACACTGTTAACTATGTAACGTGATGATCTCATTAACATTGGAATGCTCGCTTTAACATTAAGATGTTCACATTTACATTGGCATGCTCGCATTAACATTGGCATGCTTGCGTTAACATTGGGCTTGAAAGGACCCAGTTTATCTCTAGCTAAAAATCCCTGTCACTTTGTACAAGAAGAGCATCTGCTGGTCGTGCTTGTGCATGCGACAGTTTTGGTTTAAAATGACTCCAATCGGATGCCGTAAAAGCAGCAACTTAGTTTTGTCTCTGCACTATAATAAACTGCCATCCATGAGCACGAAAGTGGCTCCGGACCCGGGTTCGCTCTTGTCCTTGCTGCTTGCCCGTTGCGTTGTGCTCCACTGTCAAAGCCGCTCATCACTCAGCGCTGCAATGGCAGTCATTAATCAAATAGCGCCAAAACACCCGCCCACTGGACAACAGCCCTCCAACTCCCAATCCCCTTGCCCTCAGCAGCCCCCCATCCTGTGGCCACGACAACAATGAGACGCGTCGCTTTTGGGTTTTTATTGCATTTGTCACCAGCTTCAGATGAAGCTTGAAGCGTCCGTCCGTGCATAGCATGGGAAAAGCGACACTTGCGGTGGCATCCAGATTCAGTTGCAGGACAAGGACGACAGTTTCCCCTGGCTCCGCCCCTACCTCCCTCCCTCCCTCCTTTGCGTTCCATAACTTTTTTTTAACCTTCGAATTTTAATTTCTTTGAATGCCAATTGATAATAGGGATCTGTACAAATTTAAAAAGGTATAACATTTCAAAATCAGACGATATTTACCCGAGATATTGAAACAAAATCATCAAAAAAGTTTTGATTTTCGGAACGACCCCGATTTTGACAAAAAACGTGATGTAACCCCTTGCTTTTTGGTCGATTTTGGTCAAAATTTAGATTTTAATATTTTTGATGCCAACCGATAGTACTGATCGTTACGAGTCGAAAATGGTATAAAATAACAAAATCGGACATTATTTGGCCGAGATATTAAAAAAAATCATCAAAAAAGGTTGACTTTACAAACGAATCGTTTCTTGGTCAACAACTGTTTTTAGGTCATCGATTTGTAATTTCTTTGAATGCCAATTGATAATAGGGATCCGTAAGAATTTAAAAAGGTATAACATTTCAAAATCAGACGATATTTACCCGAGATATTGAAACAAAATCATCAAAAAAGTTTTGATTTTCGGAACGACCCCGATTTTGACAAAAAACGTGATGTAACCCCTTGCTTTTTGGTCGATTTTGGTCAAACTTTAGATTTTAATATTTTTGTTGCCAATCGATAGTTCTGATCGTTACGAGTCGAAAATGGTATAAAATAACAAAATCGGACATTATTTGGCCGAGATTTTTAAAAATATCATCAAAAAAGTCATATCTCCGCGCGGAGTTATGTCGTTTTGGAACGAAAAATCATCAAAAAAGGTTGACTTTACAAATGAATCGTTTTTTGGTCAACAACTTTTTTTAGGCCATCGATTTTTAATATCTTTGAATGCCAATTGATAATAGGGATCCGTACAAATTAAAAAAGGTATAACATTTCAAAATCAGACGATATTTACCCGAGATATTGAAACAAAATCATCAAAAAAGTTTTGATTTTCGGAACGACCCCGATTTTGACAAAAAACGTGATGTAACCCCTTGCTTTTTGGTCGATTTTGGTCAAACTTTAGATTTTAATATTTTTGATGCCAATCGATAGTTCTGATCGTTACGAGTCGAAAATGGTATAAAATAACAAAATCGGACATTATTTGGCCGAGATATTAAAAAAAATCATCAAAAAAGGTTGACTTTACAAACGAATCGTTTTTTGGTCAACAACTTTTTTTAGGCCATCGATTTTTAATTTCTTTGAATGCCAATTGATAATAGGGATCCGTACAAATTTAAAAAGGTATAACATTTCAAAATCAGACGATATTTACCCGAGATATTGAAACAAAATCATCAAAAAAGTTTTTGATTTTCGGAACGACCCCGATTTTGACAAAAAACGTGATGTAACCCCTTGCTTTTTGGTCGATTTTGGTCAAAAATTAGATTTTAATATTTTTGATGCCAATCGATAGTACTGATCGTTACGAGTCGAAAATGGTATAAAATAACAAAATCGGACATTATTTGGCCGAGATATTAAAAAAAATCATCAAAAAAGGTTGATTTTGAAAACGAATCGGTTTTTGGTCAATCATTTTTTCTTACCCATCGATTTTGAATTTCTTTGAATGCCAATTTTTGGTAGGGATCCCTACGAATTCAAAAAGGTATAATATTTCAAAATCCGACAATATTTACCCGAGATATTCGAATAAAATCATCGAAAAAGTTTTGATTTTTGAACCGACCCCGAATTTGAAAAAAAACGTGATGTAACCCCTTGCTTTTTTGTCGATTTTGGTCAAATTTTAGATTTTCATATTTTTGATGCCAATCGATAGTACTGATCCTTACGAGCTCAAAATGGTATAAAATTCCAAAATCTGACATTATTTGGCCGAGATATGCCAAAAAATCATCAAAAAAGGTTGATTTTGAAAACGAATCGGTTTTTGGTCAATCATTTTTTCTTACCCATCGATTTTGAATTTCTTTGAATGCCAATTTTAGGTAGGGATTCCTACGAATTCAAAAAGGTATAATATTTCAAAATCCGACAATATTTACCCGAGATATTCGAAAAAAATCATCGAAAAAGTTTTGGAACGTCATATCTCCGCCTGGAGTTATGTCGTTTTGGAACGTCATATCTCCCGCGGAGTTATGTCGTTTTGAAACGTCATATCTCCGCGCGGAGTTATGTCGTTTCAAACCGACCTTTTCGATTTTCATATTTTTGATGCCAATCGATAGTACTGATCCTTACGAGCTCAAAATGGTATAAAATTCCAAAATCTGACATTATTTGGCCGAGATATGCACAAAAAATCATCAAAAAAGGTTGATTTTGAAAACGAATCGGTTTTTGGTCAATCATTTTTTCTTACCCATCGATTTTGAATTTCTTTGAATGCCAATTTTTGGTAGGGATCCCTACGAATTCAAAAAGGTATAATATTTCAAAATCCGACAATATTTACCCGAGATATTCGAAAAAAATCATCGAAAAAGTTTTGGAACGTCATATCTCCCGCGGAGTTATGTCGTTTTGGAACGTCATATCTCCGCGCGGAGTTATGTCGTTTCAAAACGACCATT